AGCTAAATTTGATCTAACTGCGGGCGACGCTGTCCGCAATATCCGCTCTGCATGGATACCAGGTGCGACACCGAAATAGAAATGCTATGCAGCTAGAGTGGCTATTCTGGATTTGATAACTAAAGGAGTCTCAGCTGAGAGCAAATATAGCGCTCTGTAACACAGGCTAACGGTGAAAGTTATGCGCAATAGGAAGACAGTGGATTCAACTTTCAAGTTCCATGACGGCGCAAATATTAATCTAAATTTATTAGGACGCTGCATGGCTACCATATTCCAGAGTTGGCTGTGCCTGTAAGTAGATTATTGAGCTAATGCAAGCCATTATGCAGGAATACATAATTTATCCACATCTGTCGTCGGTACGGCTGCCGTTTGTGATGCAGCATGCCGGGTGAAATGTGATTGGCTCCTGACGGCTGCACTCCATGCATGGCCACGTCTCCCGGTGACACCGCGAGAGAAGGTGGGAATTCAGCCGGAGCAGTCGGCAGCTTTTCTTCCACATTATCCTCGGAGGATTTCTGAGACGGGATTTCCATAAGCCGGACCTCATGACGAGGCACCAGATAGGGGGACGTTTTGACGGAGTTGTAGTGCCTCGGCTTTGACTGAGTGATATAACGCAGCGCTGCGATGCGCGAAGCGACTGCGTGGGGCCTTCAGGAAGCGCAGAGGAAGCGTAGCTTTTCTGCAGGGAGGCAGGGGCAGAGTTAATGCAGATAAGTAAAAGCACTCAGAGCGGGCTTTTGCAAAGCGTAAGCGGAAGAAGCAAAAATAAAAATACAGGAATGACACCGGCAGACGTCAGTCGCCTTTAACATAAACAATCGTTGACAAAATATAAATAAATACTAGTAGAGTGGTGCGCACTTCCGAGCACGTCCGCAAGATACAATCTAACTTCCTGTGGTGACGCTGTACCATCGTGACAAAGCCTCGTATCAGTCCACAACTATCGTGCTATCTCACTATCGCGGTGACCGCCGGCTTACAAGATGAAACTACAGCCACAGCGGCGGCCCGCATCAATGTCTTGACCTTCAGTCAACGAGCTGAATAGTGTTGGCCACTCGGGACCATTGGCGGCCTCGGCGAGCGCCGGGCAGCGGCGATCCCGACCGCGCGCCGGCGGGCGATTGCAAAACAGACATACATACTGGCGCGCCGGCTGAAACGGGATCTGTTGTTTTCCTAGCCCGATCCGCAAGATGTATTTCAGGCCAACCGGCCTGTTTTCCATTTCGCTGCTGGCATTTGAAGCGAACGCCTCAGCTCGAGAAAAAGCTAGGCCACAGTTTGTTATTCGGTGGCTAACTGATATGGAGAGGATCCAGATTTACGGTTAGAGCTCCGACTGAACGGAACAGTTTAAGTTTACGTAGGCTCCAAATGCCTCCGGAATGTCACATAAGCAGAACGGTGCGAGCAAGGAGCGTGAATCATCAACAAGGCGTCTGAAAAGTCCTGAAGGGTGGCATTTGATTGTCCAGTCATCCAGTGGATCCCCATATGGCACTTCTGTCACTAATTCACTATAGCGAGGCTGTTGGCATCTTCGTGTGATAAACCTAAACCAACCTATCACGCCGCAACACAGCTTCACAGACTGGACAAGCCTAAACGAGCCTGTTCACTGGCCCAGCTGCCTTGAGTATCGCTTTAGGTCAAACCGCTATCCGGGACCTCTCCTGTTACATACCCCGCTCCGTCACATGACCAGCGTTGCAGGGTTCAGCCAGCCCTGCAGCAACCGACACTGGGGCGAGAAACGAGCACCAACCACACCGGCGTGATAAATGACACGGCTGTTTTCGTAGCGGGTGCGCTGTTTTCGCAGACGCGTCAACACGTCGACCGGTGAGAGGCAACAACACGCGCCGTGTTTATAATTTACCTTTCCCCGAGCTAACGAGCCCACGAAGTCACGGCGCTGACACTGCAGCGATGCCGCGGAGAAGCGTCTTTAGCTAAGAACGTCGAGGAAGCGCGCGAGAAGCAGCGTGTGAGACGCTCGACCAGCTCGAGTCAGCAGCAGCCTTCAGCGGTCCGCAGTAGGGGAGGCGAAGGTCATACCCAGAAATCGACCGCGGTCGCCGCCCAACACAAGCAAACAGCACACGAGTGCGCCGGGCGGCGGGCGCGGGGCCCGAAATACCCCCGCTGCCGGCTGAGGGTGGCTGGTAGGGCGCAGGGCGACGAGGAAGGCGGAGAACTGAGGGTGGCCGAGTCACGCCCACTGAGTCGGCCTAGGCTGGCCTTCACACACCACAGCGGGTCATAGCGGGTCGACGGGACGAGACGCCAACTGAGGCGACACACAGCGGCCGTCTGTGTATGTACGCTCGTCAGTTTGGCAAAGCGGTCCCGATCGGCTTTGGCACCTCTGATGTGAAGAGCACGACACTGTGACTGAACAGATCAGAGCGTAGTCCATACGTCACGCCAATTACTTATCGGAAGCAATCCACAAATAAATATTTCAATATAACCCCAGCTAACGTAGACAGTGACCATCATGACCTTTCAGTTGGCACAGATAGTTTGTCAGAGATGATTCAGCAGACACCTCCCGGATCCCAGTGGGCGGCAGTGGGCCATGGGGGTAGTGGGCCGGGTAGGGATAGTGAGCCATGGAGGGCGGTGGGCGGTAGGGTTGATGAGGCGGTGGGCGGCGGGTGTAGTGGGCGAAAGGGTTGGTGAGGTAGTGGGCGGCGGTGAGCGGTGGGCGGGGGGGGGGGGCATGCACCGGTGGGCGGGGGGCGATGGGCGGGGAAAGATGCAGCAGCGCGGCGACGGTGCAGCGATCCGGACCACAGCGTTTACACAATGTCCAACTGCGGCGCGGCGCCGGCGAGCAAGTTGTTGAACTCCTCCCCAGGCGAACCTCTCGGTGAGTTCACGGCGGCCGGCGCCGGCAGAGCGGTAAAGCTCAGTTTAGATCGTCCGACGGGGTCAGGGTGGTTTGGAGGTGCCGGCAGCACGTCTGACCAGAAATAGCCAGTCCGCCGGGCTGGGACGGGGGTGGGTGAGCTGGGCGGTGGCCGGGGAGCTGATGCTGACTCAGTGGAGCCGGCCCGCGGCCGATGATAGCCCGTGTCGATGCTGCCACACCATCACTGCTGTATACGGCCGCCATCAGCGGTTTAGTGGACTGCCGGACCGGCAGAGGCGGCGGAACACACCCCGACGGCTTGACGGCGCCGACGGCGTACATTACGGCCGCACATAAATCAGGGGCCGCCGGCAGCTGGCGCGCCGGCCAGACTGCACAGTTGTTCGGTCAGAGCCGCCGGCGGCACCCCGACCGACACAAGTGGTGCTCAGAGTCGTCAGCGATGGAGCGTTTCAGACATTGTTCTGTGGAGGAAACGACGCCAGCTGTCAGCTGGTCTCAGCCAGCAGACGGTCCAGCAGGCGCCGAACTAGCGATTGCTAGAATGTTTTTATCAGGTATCTGACTCAACATCACAATCAGATGGCGTGCTCCCACAAATATAGAGTGCTGCTCCGGAATATTGGCATGCATAGATGATGAACACTTTTTCATGTCAGGAGTTAATAAGCTATAATAAGCGGCGTGACTCGTGATATTTCCAAATTGTATGGTCCGGATATTCCTGCACTACGAAAGAGATCAAAGGATCTATGTTGCCAATATCGAGCGTTACGACAGTATCAACTACATTTTCCAAATTCACCCACCTCCCTTATGAACATTATCAGTGTCGTCCCATTTTCTAAGGAATTGACTAATTGATTATGCATAAGAAACTGGTTTCATCACATGCATCGTTTTGTTTCATCACATGCATCGTTTTGTTGAGACGGTAAGCTATTACGCCTCTCCAAACAAAACTCAGAGGCTTCGTCGTCTTTTTCAACTTATGCTGAGGCGCTCCAAGCGCGGACAATGGCGGCGAGACAGCTCCGTCGCCTTTGAGCAAGAAGCACCGACAGAGTGAAGGGCTGGGGACTTTACCGCCGTTCAGTGAACAGGAGTCTGGCGGGGTACCGAGGGAGACGGTATTGTGTCGGCTCTGCCACTCGTAAGCCGCGGCTCACGGCCCGCTGTCAATGGCCGGGCACGGCAGAAACCGGCGGCCACTACACGACAGAGAGGGCTGCGGGCCTCCAGACGCCGCGCCGGTCCGGCGGGCCACAGCTACCAGTCATTTCCGGAAAACATGCCGCGCTTACCATGTAAAGTTTTCCGATCAGCGGGTGGGTCTTTGTCAGAGAACTTGTGCATGTTTCACGGACGTTTGTCAGCTTAGGAGGCATTGTAACGTCAAACGAGCACTGACCCGGCAGCGAGCAAAGCATTGAGACATTCTACCAGTACAATGCTTAAACATTTTTAGAGCTACTATTGACGGTTCAATTTAGCGTTGAGCTTCCACAAAACAGCCACAATTCTCAGCCTGAGCGGACGCGTGGCCTGAAGAGATATGGAGCACAACACAACAGACCTAAGTGGGTCAGACGTAATGGCCTTGTTTTGAGAGAAGTCTACCAAAATATACACCATGACTGGCGCCGCGGTCAGCTGGAGATGCCCGACCCGCGGCGATCCGACAAACCTACCCACTGGTGATACATTGTCCGATCCCAACGCCCCGAGATTGTGCCAGTCTAACGCAAACCCTCCGTACAAGACAAAGAGAGCACAACGGACCGTGAAACGCTCCGTGACACGATCTCGGGCGTGATCGCGCAGGAGATGCCGACGGCGACTGACGGTCCGTGTGGGGTCGGCAGCCCCGAGACTTTTCACCCGAACTCCGGTCTTAAATCCGGTGTGGTCTGGTCTGATCTGGTCTGGTTTGGTCTTACTCGGTATGGTCTGCCTCTGCTCTTGTGCAGTCTGGTCAGTCTGGTTTGAGCTGAGCTGGTCTTGTGCGGTCTGGTCTAGTATTGTCTGGCTGGCTTTCATTCGAAGAGCCCCGGCAGTGTGGCACCGACCAACCCGATGGAGCCACATCGCCTCCCTCACTCACCTTCTGTTTGTCTAGGATTTTCATGGCGAAGTAGTCCTTGCCGGCTTTGTGCTGCACCAGCATCACTCTGCCGAACGATCCGGTGCCCAGGGTCTTCAGCAGGTCGAAGTCCTCGAGCGCAGACGTGTTCTGAGGTAAACACACCGGCCAGGGTCATTTCTATTCGCCGGAGTGGCCAGCCGTGTGAGCACCACCTTTCGATACACCACGATTTACTTATGCCGAGGGGGGACAGTAGCCGAGACGTTACTGCAGAGGGAATGACAGAAGGAGCGAGAAAAGGAGAGTAGAAGAGACGGGGCGTGGCGTATACGCGGCTGGATTCTATGCGGCAAGGCTCGTCCCAGACCCTGAGAGGTGACCAGACTGACGAGCGTGACCCAGGGGCCCCTTAGAACAGTAGGATAGCCCAGGGACCTGGCGGGTAACCACCAGGCTCGGTCACTGGAAGTCATCACCATTCGCCATTCCAAGAAGGTCACGACCGTTCACCTGCTGACGATAACACGCGCATCCACAAACACATCCGACAGACACGTGAAGTGAACACGTTTCACGTGATACACACAAACCACACATGAACCTACACACCGATACATGAAGCCCAACGTAAATCTGGCCGTTCCCAATGACCTACGACTGGGGACGATATACAAAGCACGGACAGACGCACCGGCCAACACGTGACACTGAGACGGGGCGTTATAGGAGCGTCTTGGCGGCCGCGGGACAGATATTTTGGCACGATATCAAACATATCTCCCCAATGATACCCCGCGCATGTCCTTAATGATACACATCGCGTCTTCCCGATGTATCACAACGCACATGATAGGACACCCAGCACATGTCTTTAATGCATCGCACGATTGGGCACCATGTCACAAATGTATCATATGATACCCACAGCGTGTCTCGCATCACACGCGATATCCGACATATGTCCTCAAAATAGCACACGGGCGCGACTGTCAGTTTCGATATTAAGTCCAGGATGTGCATCGATGCAGCTGGGTAACAAAGAGTTAAACAAGCCAATGACTGGTCAATTCCGGTAGGCATTGACGTCAGTTTAGGTGTTGTACCTCAGCAAAATTGGGGTAGTTTAGCAATATGAGTTGAGCTCGCGGTGGAGCAAGTTAACCATAAGACCAACTCTATGTAATCAGAACAGAAGCTAGTGTGTCAAACAAATCCGAATCACTAGAACCAGTATAGCGCCTTTTGGGGCGACTAACGGAGCGAGCGAGAGGGTGAGCCTTGCACGTGCGAAATTTCGAGGAGGTACCTCCAACTGACTTGTGCACGGCACCCTACTAACCGGTCTCTAGCGATGTGCCAAATTTGAGCACAATCGGCCCAGCCGTTCTCGAGATCTGGAAGCGGCACCCTGCACGTGCGCACGTGCAGAATGGGTCCCAACTGACTTGTGCACGGCACCCTACTAACTGGTCCCTAACCGTGTGCCAAATTTGAGCGCCATCGGTCCAGCCGTTCTCGAGATCTGGAAACGACCCCTGCACGTGCGCACGTGCAGCAGCACCCCAACTCTGGCACATGGATATGCAGTGCCTAGTGGGTGCCTACCTACATGCCAACTTTCAGCGCAATCGGCCAAGTAGTTACCGAGATATTGCAACAATTACAAAACTGACACCTCTTCGTTTTGCACGTGGCACGTGCATAAGGGGTCACCCACATGCATCAGGAATAGTCCAATACTTGGTAGAAGGAATGAAGCTACCCTACAAAAATTACCCCGTGTAAATCGGTCAAGTGGTTGCTGAGATATAAGCCTCGCAAAAGCGTCCGCACGGCCGGCCGGCCGGCCGGCCGGCCGCTCATATTCAGAAATTTCCGTTAATCTAAGGAAAGACTACGCTCGCTTCGCTCGCTCCGTAATTAGAGTAATGCACAGTAAACGGATGCTTTCACAGCGCCGCACGCGATTGTCCAATTACCGGCTTAAGTGCATTCCACTTGGCATAACCTTGATCATATCAACAGAGCAGCTAGAGTAGAAAACAGCCCGGATACTAACAAACCGTCACTGAAAACACACGGTGCAATTTACGCTAACGGAGCCACGCGGCGTTGATGCAATAAAACGACTCTTCAGCGGAGCTATCAACGAATGCCGAGCGTCGGGACATAGCAGAGCGTCGTCTGGGTATCTCAGACTCGTAAAAATAAACAAAACCACACAGACCCGCGGCAGGCCGGGCCCGTACCGGCGCGATCCAACAGTACGACGTCAGTGCATGGCGCGGGGACCATCGGACAATGAGCGCCGGCCTGCCTAATGGAGCGGACCGCAGAGATAGCGCCGGGTGTGAGCGTCTGTGTGTTAGCATACACGTTATGTTGAGCAGGAGGAGGTGTCATTTGGGCTGGTGGACGGCCTTTGTTGATGTTGAGTGTTAAGCTAGGTGTGACACCTCGTCTGCCGGTGAGCGTGTGTTACGGTTGCCGGCGCTCCGGTGTCAGTGAGCTGTGTCTAGTGGCTGTGTTGACGCCGCCGGTCGTTAACCCTGCCCCTGGGGGACGGGGGGAGGCACTGTGCCGATGTTGACGCCGCCGGCCGGTGTTGACAGCGACGGGAGGGGGCGGCGGGAGGGGGCTGGTGTCACACAGGTGTACCGGCGGCCGCCGACGGTCGGCTCCGGTGTCCCGGCGGCGGCGGGCCAGCTGGCGTGCTCCCACCACCCCACTGCCCTCCGCCCCGCCCCACCTCCCCTCCTGGTGGGGGGGGGGACCACCTCAGCGCCCCATCATCACACCACTGCACCCCTACCTTCCCCTAGCCGTCCCGTCCTACCTCTAGTCGTCAGCACACATCGCCCCATCGTGCCGCCTCACAGCCGTCACCACCTTCACACCAACTCACCAACTCAAACTCACCAGCTCGCCCCCCCCCCTGCCCCAGCCATCACCAGTCACCACTCCCCGTTCCACGACGACGCACAAAGAATGCACAGCTGGAGGAAACAGCTAACAATAAATATACCAGATACATCACGTACATCAGCAGGCGTACTCTTGCGCAAATAATGCACACTCACAGCCAGCGACACACCTAAGTAAGTAAAAGCACGCGTATCCACACAGCGTATTCAGTATTCGCCCCCACAGCCGCACCTACATTCACAGCTGTATCAGCTAGGATATCGGTACCTAAACAACATATTTTTTGTCGTTTCTTTATCGAACTATGATCGTATTAAGTCCTAAACGGACGAAACATGACGAATACATATCATAGGAGGCAGGATCAACTGATAAAATGAAACAATGTCCATAAAACCATATTTTAAGTCATGCTTGGTACAGTTCACTAAAACGTTAACGTTTCACAAGTTACACGACTACTTCAAGACGTTCCCTCGGACGGATTAGTCACAGCTGAAGCGGCCGCAGGTGACGCAATACAACAGGACCGTGCACACCCCTAGCTTCAGACAGGGCACAGCGCACGGTCACAACTCACATGACCCACCGGGTCTCCACAGCACAACATCATAAATTAGTTCATCCAGTCCTGTTTATAACGGGACTCCGACTGCAACCAACAACTGATGGCTAAGAGCATCAGGGGCGGATCCAGAAAATCTCCAAGGGGGGGGGGGGCATTAGAAACCAGGAGGCCCCCATAATCCCACCTGTTGGAGGCCCCATCTTCCCACTTGTTGGCCCCCCCCCCAAAAAAACTGCGTCTATTGAGCTTATCTAGCTGTTCAGGCAACATCTCAACATGAATAGCCACTTTATTTTCAGGAGGCCCCCTTTTCAGCTTTTTAACTTATTTTATTTTTGAAAAAAAAATCGGCCAAGGGGGGGGGGCCATGGCCCCCATGTATCCGCGCCTGAAGAGCATGTTGTCTGTCAAACACGGCGTATTGATGGCATCACAAACACTTGCACAGTCAACCATGCAAGCAACTATGACAGGTCCGACTGTTACAATTACAGTACATGCCAAGCTCGTCGAAGATGCTTACCTTGGAAGGGTTTTTTCCATTTTTCTTCGAAATCTTCCTTAGCCTTCTCTAGGAATTCCTTGACTGAAAACAGAGAAAGGCATGCATTAGTGAAATTTGGTCGATGAATACTGTTGGTGCAGCAAAACCAAGAGTCACAATTGCATAAAATCCAGGGCCCGACGGCTTTGCAGCGATAACCGCTCGTGAAAATTTAAATGACAAGTTTAACGAATTTAGGTAGACTCGAGAGACAAAAAGGAGAGAAAGAAAATTTTTGAAATGGCTTGAATGGCAAACCTCGAAACGATAAATATAATATAGGAAACGAAACAAATGAAGAAACACTAAGAACCGCGAAGTAAAACGAAGAAATCAGAAGAATAACGAAACGAAATGAAAAGTGATTAGTAAATCATGACGGTGTATTGACATGGAAATCACTTGCGAGGTTAAAATACATGTTAAATTACGATTAAGTTGATATCGTATCGAATCACCAAAGCCATTTGATGCCAACAGGCACTAACAGTTTCGAGGTGTCTATATCAACAATAGTGCAATGCAAGAATAAATGTTATCAAGAACTGAAAGTCGAATATTCACAGTTTTAGGCTCAGCTGAGTCTACATTGAAGCTATCATTACTCCCGATATTATTTGAGCCTGGTGTTGTTCCGTCAAGAAGAATTGTTTGAAGAATTGTCAAGAAGATTAATAGCACGCTGCTATTGCTAATTCGAATTCATACAAAAGTTGTCAAACCTGCTATCGAGGTAAGGTCTACACAGCAATTATAATCCCTGGCAACTAAATCAACGGCATCAACTGCATAACTTGGACACCCGTTGGCCTGTGCTTCACCCTAGTTTCTTAGCGTACCGTTACGAGACAATGGAGAATTTGAAAGTGTCTGAACTTAAAATGATGCTGAAGGCACGCGGTCTTAGCTGTAAAGGAAACAAGGCCACGCTTGTAAATAGATTGGTAAATGTGCTAGGAGCGCGGAATACGTTAGATGCCGAGCCATGTTTGGAAAATAGTGCAGTTCATCCCGATGACAGTGTGTCCCGTGTTGAGTCCCCGTCTGCTTCTGTGTCTCCTTCCAATGTTAAGTCTGAGTTAAGGCGCGCAGAGGAGGCAGCCGATAGAGCCGCTCTCATCGAAAGATTAAAGTCCTTAAAAGAAAAACAGCTCATTGAGAGTCAAATCGCTGAACTTAGACGTGGACAGGAGCTGCTGGAAATTCAGGCGACTTTAAATGAATTAACTGCTAGAGAGCAGGCGTTAAAGACGTATAGAAATGATGATGATGTAAGCCCATTACCAGCGAGCTTTCATTCGTTACCCTCACATGAGACGGAAACTCCTCGCATCTCTCACTCTCACGCTAACCCTACACTCCAGTACGTCCCAAACTTGCGGCCGGATATATCTCAGCAAGCACCACCCGCGTTTAGTCGCCGCGCTCATGAAGGCACATCTGCTGCTTTAATAACCGAAAGAGAAAGGACGGCAGCGTTGATGCGTCTGCCTCCGATCGAAATCAAGAAATTTGGGGGTGATACCACTCAGTTCGCTCAGTTTATTCGATGTTTCGAAATGAAGATCGCTTCTAAATTGGATGATGACAGTGAAAAGTTATATTACCTGGAACAAAACATAATTCCGGGAAGTAAGCCGCACAGTATTGTTGAGAGCTGCATGTATCTTGAAGACGGGTATCAACATGCGATGCAGATTTTGCACAAGAGGTATGGCCAGCCTAGCACAATCGCAGCTGCCTTTATTGATAGAATAAGTAGCCAGGAACAGCTCAATGCAGAAAATGGAGAAGAGCTGGACCAGTTCTCGTTGTTGCTCCTCAGTTGTAAGAATGCACTAGGAAGCTCGTGCAGCTTCATGAATGATCCTCGAACCCTGCGTACTATTACAAGGAAGCTACCGGTACCACTCCTGAGTAGATGGCGACGTCGTGTAGACGATTTGGAAGAGTATCAGGGGCGGCCAGCAGTCTTCGAAGACCTGGTTGAATTTGTAGCACGAGAAGCCAGAATAGCCACAAACGCTTCGTTTGGACAACATATGTATAGCAGCCGTGAAGGAGCAAGTGCAAAGCAGAACGAAGGGGAATTATTTTCCCAAAGTTATCAGAAACCTTTAGTTGCGGCGACGCGCACCCAGTCTCAGAATGACAGCGGGTGTCTGTTTTGCGGGGAGAAAACGCATAATGTTACGGAGTGTAACAGGCTGAACAGCGTCCCATTTGAAGAGAGAAAACAATTTGTGATGAAAAATGCTTTATGCTTTGGGTGCCTCCGTAGAGGCCATAGACGTTCATTTTGTCGCAGACCAGTGAGCTGCCAGCTATGTAACCGAAATCATCCGACGGCGCTGCATGATCGCACTTTAGAAGATCGGCAAACGCTGCTTAAACAGCCGCCTTTGCCAGAGGATACAAACACAGCCAATGCGACCACTTGCCGTGTCGCAGCAGACGAACTCAAAAGGGGTGCTATGCTGCCGTTGGTGGCTGTGAAGATCAAAAGCTCTTCGGGACAATACACTACATACGCCTTCCTAGACAGTGGTTCAACGCATTCGTTTATAGCGACGTCATTATTGCGCCTGCTCGGTATGGAGCACCGTCCCGGTCGGCAGCTGTCGCTGACCACGGTGCATGGTGCCGCTTCTATCCCGACTCAGATAGCAGAGGGGTTGTCCATTACTGACCTCCAGGGCTTCAATACTTTGCAGCTGCCACCCCTCTACACTCTGCCAAGTATTCCCGTTGACTCTGGTCATTTCCCTAAGGTTGCAGATGTTGAAAGGTGGGAACACTTACGAGGCATTGATCTCCCAGATTCTAATGTATCAGAAGTCGGTTTGTTATTGGGAGCCAATGCATATTTAGCAATGGAACCACTGAGGGTTATACCAAGCATAAATAACAGTCCGTATGCAATACTCACAAGATTTGGATGGATAGTATGTGGAATAAATCAGACGGAAGGTCAGACGGCAAACACCGCGATCTTCAAGACAAACGTAACCGCGAGCACAACGCTAGAAGAAATGGTAAAATCTCTATACAACCACGAATATGAAGAAAGCCTTCACTGTACCAGGAGAGGTTTGTCTGCAGAAGATCGGTTGTGGCTCCAAAGAGTCAATACTTCGATTGAACATGACGGCCATCACTACAGTATTACTTTACCACTGACTGAAGAAAGTTTGGTTTTACCGAACAATATCTCAATTGCAAGATCGCGGTTAAACAAGTTAAAATTCAGATTGGAAAGAAACAAACTGTTCGCTTTCGATTACATGTCGTATGTGGACACAATGATACAGAAAGGATTTGCAGAACGTGTTCCAGAAGGAAGTGAAAATAGAAACGATGGTAGGGTGTGGTACCTGCCTCACCATGCCGTTTATCACTCGCACAAACCCGACAAAATACGGGTGGTTTTTGACTGTGCCGCTCAATTTCAGGGCATATCACTGAACGATTGCTTGCTTCAGGGCCCAGACCAAACCAACACACTTCTAGATGTGCTTCTACGTTTCCGATTAGAGCCAATCGCCTTTATAGCTGACATAGAGGGCATGTTTAATCAAGTAAATGTTCACGAGTCAGACAGAGATTTACTCAGGTTCCTCTGGTGGCGAGATGGAAACACGTCAAACGAATTACAACAGTTCAGAATGAAGGTGCATATTTTTGGCGCCAAGTCGTCTCCTGCCGTTGCTTGCTATGCACTCAGGCGAACAGCCGAAGATAACAAAACTCATTTTTCCGAAGAAGTCGTAAGCACAATACGACACAATTTTTATGTTGATGATGTACTGAAGTCATCTCCCGACGAGCAGACAGCTATTGGTCTAGCTCATGAGCTCAAGGAGTTATGTAGCAAGGGTGGCTTTAATCTTACAAAATTCTCGAGCAACAGCCGGACGGTGGTCAATTCTATCGCATCGGATGACAGGTCCAAGAAACTTAGAAAAGCTTTGATTGAAAATGAGCATCACCCCGATGAACTGGCACTTGGTATAATATGGAAAACTGAGGAAGATGATTTGTCTGTTTCCTTAGACATGTCGAGTCTCACTTCAAGGTCAAAGACCAGGCGAGGCCTATTGTCCGCTGTCAGCTCACTCTATGATCCGTTGGGCATGATTGCCCCGACTATTCTACAAGGAAAAAGAATCCTCCAAGATCTTGCCAGAAAACAGGTTAACTGGGATGGGGAAATCCCGGAAGAAGAGCAGAAAAGGTGGGTAGCATGGCTGATGAATGTTTCTAAAACAAGTCTCATATCGATCCCGCGCTGCATTAAGCCAACAACTTTTGGAAGCATCGTATCGTGCGAGCTGCATCACTTCGCTGATGCCAGCGAGTGGGCATATGGCACTGTCTCTTACGTCCGTATTGTTGATACAGCGGGGAATATCCATTGCTCATTTCTGAAGGGAAAGGCACATTTAGCTCCACTGAAGACTGTGACCATCCCCCGTCTCGAGTTGATGGCGGCCGTCACGGCTGTAAGAATCAGTGCATTACTCTCTGATGCGATTATTTATGCAGGGTCACCTTGTAAGGTCACTCAGGAGCTATTCTGGACGGATAGCACGACAGTCTTGCGCTATATCTCGAACAGGAAAACACGATTCCACACCTTCGTGGCTAACAGGTTAGCTATTATCCACGACGGGTCTACTCAAGAGCAGTGGATGTTCGTACCAAGTGCTCTAAACCCCGCCGATGATGTTTCAAGGGGTGAACAAAGTGATCGGTGGTTGACAGGACCAGAATTCTTGTGGAAGTCGAGAAAGGACTGGCCCAAAAAACCTTCAGCTCTACTGGAGTTAAAGGAAGACGACCCAGAACTTAAAGTTTTAGTGAGTTCTATTGGTGTGAGCAATGATCTTCTGAGGGACGAAACAAACGTGAAACATACATTAAGTGACCCGATTGAAAAGCTTCTCAAGCATTACAGCGATCGAAGAAGGCTCATTCGTGCGGTAGCTTGGATCCTCAAGGTAAAGAAGCTTCTAAAATCGCGCATTGTACACGGGGAGGGC